TTTTTTAATGTAATTGATCAATTAAACCCCATTGGATTTAATCTCTAATGAAATTAAAATCCAACAGGAACTCCAATGGATTTTGAGTTCTTGAATTCTCTTATGGGTGTTCCATTTATAGAAAAGATGATGCATTGGGGTTTCTAAAGGATGGGATAAGTGTGGAAGTCTGTTGTAGGATTTAACCAGAGATAGAATTTTTGCTCCATGTTTCCCTTTCCTTGGTTAAAGACGTTACTGCATGTGGAGGATATAAGGGTCACTGCTTAGGTTACCAAGGAATTCAAACTCAATCTCATTATGGGTCGACCCTTGAGATGATAAGTAATAAGTCTTAACTGTGTCGGTTGAGTTGCCAGGGACAAGATTAAGCTGCATGTTTATCTTAGCAAAGAGGTATTCATTCTTGTCAAATGATAGAGTTAGAAGCATCCCATTGTTGACTATCTGTTTTTTACCATGGCCCCATGTGATGCTGGAACTTGGAAGTTGGAATCTTAGTAAAAATTATTAGTCGAAGCAGTAAGAGCCTAAGAGCTTAAAACCAAAAAAGACAACACCTACTTCTATTCCAATGAGTGAGAGGTGAACATTTAAAGAAGTTTTGTGTGGAAAGGTAATTTGAAAATTTGGAGAACAACGAAGGGTAAAATAGACATTTTAACTATAAAAGGGAAAATTTAGGATTTAGAAAAGTTATGTAAGTCGTGTGGCATCACATGATAGTGGATTGTAATGGCGTGCTTAAAGGGATGAGAGATCCATCATATGGATGGCCGAACCCTACAGGAAGGTTGGTCGAAATTTCAAAAATTTCTCTCTCTCCCATTTGGGAATCGCACTCCCTATTTTAGAAAACTACATTTTTAAGGATCAATTTTGAACCCAAAACCGGAACAGATCTGAAACCAAAAGGGATATACCTGATACGAAATAGCAGTAACTCCCAATGAAGGTGTTCACGCCTAAGGAGAAGACCAAAATCCGGATGGCTCTTCAGCAAGAATCGAGATTCTTCAGCAAGAATCGAATAGAGGCTGGTGAGTACAACTTCAGATTGTTTCTTCAACTAATAAACAATGTCAAGAACCTTTCTTGATCAATTCCACAAGTGGAGATCGAACTAGGTAGGGATGGCAAGAACAGGAGAGAACTCTATAGATTATGAGAGACTTTCTTGATCCAAATCTAATTAGGAGAGAGTTTCTTGATCCAAATTTGATATTTGGATCTAGACTCTTCAATGGATAAGACTTATCTTATCCTTCAGCTAATCCTAATTAGATTATAAATCAGATCTTGGTCGTTTAATTAACTAACTTAAGCCCATTTCGAATTGGGCTTTAGGCTCATTAAGCTTATGTGCTCACTTACTCCTTAATCTATTGCCCAGTTGGTTCTCTTTGTATGGCGTGGGACTCTTACATCGATCTACACATCAGCCACATGGGTTTAGCCCAACCTTTGTTACAAGACCTGGCCGAATTCACTATAAAAAGACAGTGAACCCCTGAGTCCATTACCATGGGCTCCTAATGGGCCCAACATTTACACTAAATGGTTTTTGGATCCAGCCACCTTATGAAAACCCAAGAACTGTGGGCAGATGCAAGATTAGCCCATCAGGTATTACCCTCAATGGTCTTATACTTAATCTCTCAGCCTATAATGATCAAACACTACCCGATAAGAGAGGATCTCTCCCTTGGCTGCATGGTACAGTGCTACACTCTCCACTCACATGGATCCCGGGAATTAAAACATTTTTGCAAACATTTTGAAACCATAATATATACATATATATATATATGTATATATATATGCATATCTCTATATAAATATATTTTGCAAAAACAAATCTCAACGTTTGAAATCAACTGCCAGTAGTTTAGGTTTCCATCAGAGAAGTGAATTCCCTGATCATTCACTTTGTTCGACAAAGGGGCTGATCTTGTCACTATGATCACTGACTCAAATGAATTCTTGGACTGTCCCAACATACCTAGGTTTTGACCCCCTCTAAGGATCTCACTGATTGGCATATCAAAGACAGCCCAATCCGACACCTGGTGCAGTACCATAATCGAGTCTAGGGGTCAGGTGTAACATTCCAGTTTTGCCCATCTATCTCCAAGGTCCAGGGCAATACTAGAATTTGGTCCGGTTGAGGGTTTCAAGAAAACCCACACTACATGTACCTCCGGTTTCACCCTGGTAGATGAGACAAACCACCCCAACCAACTTGGCGGCACATCAGTGTCAGCCTTGGCAGGATAAATCTCCCAAAATTGATTCAACGGGTATGAAGATTGTAAACTTACACGAGTCTCATAAGTGTCAAGTTTAAGAGTATTACACAAAAACACACCAAAACACATGAATCAATTATGCACTTTATTCAATTACAATAAATGACATAATGTACATCAATCTGATTGGTGCTAAGTGCATATACTGTCTAACAGTGCTAACGATAGGGGGATTTTGTCCATTATTATAAAACTTAAGGGTACTTTAAGTAATTTTTCAAAAGTAAGGTATGTTTTAGTCCATTTGTTAAAACATAAGGGTAGTTTATGTATTTTACCCTTCAACCATTTTCTTACTACCCACTACTAGTTGAGTTTGGATCTGGTCCCAATATAGGGTCTAAATAACTAGTCCTAGTGGCCATTGGTTTGGCAACTATTGGATTAGAATCTCATAAATAAGGGTGATTCGTGTTCACTATTGCGATCTCCTCTTTTGCCAACAAATTGTACCCTGGATCCTAACCCTAGTAAACTTGATTGACTTAGACCATGATTTTAGAGCCATCTATCTCTTCTACACACCTCCTCCCCTTTTTTCTAAGATCCATGGTCAACTTTTTTCTAGAATTTTCATTGCACAACTTCTACTCCTACACCTCGATGTCGATCGGTCGATTTTAGGTGACCAACTTCCCAACCCAACTAGGTTGATTTGGTCGGCTAAATAGCTAACAATTGAACTGAATCGACCCATGAAGACCCCTAGTTTCATCTAAATTAGTAGTTTAATCTCTAATAAATAACAATAGTTTAATCTCCAATAATTATTGAAAGCTTATAGTGAAAATAAATAATTATTGAATATAAAATTCTAATAAAAACATAATAAATTCAATAATTATAAAACTATATTAAATATTGAAAATATATTAATTTAGTCAATAAATAATGTAATCTCCAATAATAGTTAAATCTCTGATAAATATTAATCAATGAATTATAATAAAAATACATAATTACTAACAATAAATTTATAACAAAAATGCAATAAATCTAGTAAGTAGAATAAATTAAATTTTAAAAATTAAAATGACAATATTTTAATCCATTATTAAAATTTTACTAGTAAATAATAAAACAAAAATAGATTTGTACATAATTATTGAAAATATATTTATCACAAAAGTACAATAAATAATTATTCAAAATACAATAATATTTTTGTTATTAATAAATATAATTTTTTTCTAAAAGTTATTTTCTAAAATTATTAATTGATATAAATGAAATAATATTTTTGTTATTAATACATTAATAATTGCAATTATTATTCTATGTTTTAATGAAAAGTCAATACATATTTTTGAAAGTTCTTTACACATGGGGTGTCGTCGTCGGAGATTTGCAACTAGACCTGTTCATGGGCCGGGCTCGGGCCAGGCTTTCTCTCTGTATTAATAGATTTTTCTAAGGCCCGAGCCCGAGCCTGGCCCGACCATCGGGCTTACAACTTGGGCTTGAGCCCGACCCTCATAAAAAGCCCGAAGCCCGGGCCTGGGTCCGAGTCCGAAATTTAGCCCATACTGTTACTACTGCTGAAGCGGTTAAATTGAGAGATAGAGATAGAGATAGAAAGAGAGAGAGAGAGAGAGAGAGAGAGAGAAATTATAAAGAAAATAATTTCAATAAATATTATATTATTTATATATTTTATATAATATATAAAATACATATTATATATTTTATAAAATATATAATGTTGAGTTGGGCCGGGCTTTTTTGACAAATCTCAAACTCGGCCCGAAACACAGTCGAACTTACTGTGTTAGGCCCGAGGTCAGACCCGCGGGCCTAATTACATGACCAAGCCCGACCGGGGTGTGGGCCGGGCCATCGGCCTACCCGGCCCATGAACAGGTCTATTTGTAACAACGTGCACCAGTTCGATACGTGAGGCCCTTTTCGAAGGTGAGATCTTAAGATTCTTAACCGTCGTATCTGTTGAGACCATTAATAAATTCATGGCCTTTTCACTGCCTCACAGAGCACCTCACAGGCGCCCCACAACATATTTAAACCGTGCATCGGGAATATCTCCCAATGACAAATACGAGAGATGATATTAATGTGGGGCGCTGATACGAATATTCCTCTTATAAACATCATCCACGGTGAGTGGGCCCTTACACTGATCCCGACTGTACGATCGCATTTTGAATTGGGAGGTGGACTAAATTCACACCTGCACGACCAAAGCCAGTGCTGCGCTTGCGCCACATAGAAGTACGACAAAACCTGCAGAACGGGAGTTATTACAGTTACAATATTTTTCCAAGAATGCCCATAATTGTAATAGAGAATAACGATATTACCCGATATTTCACGTGTTACCGCGGTGTTCACAGTTTCGGTTCGGGTATCAAAAGCGTGTATGGGGTGGGGGGTGGGGGTGGGGGTGTGGCTCACATAAAGACTACCAAACATACATGCTAAAAATGGGAAATCTCAAGTAAAAAATGTGGTCAACGATTGAAGTAGTAGTAGTTGACTCTGTGGGGTGAGTAATTTCTTTAGGCTGCATGGTTTAGTGAAATGAACCAATGTGGTTTGACCAAAATTTGAACCGGATAGGTCCACTGAACCAATATGATTGGGAAACATACGGGTTTGTTTTCTCCTAGTTAAATAGGGGTGGTCTTGGACCGATTAATCTAATAAAAAACCTAGTTTTAACTTTTAACCTAGTTTTTTAGTTTTTGCCTTTTATCTCTCCCTTTCTCTGCTGTGTAGTAATCTGATTCTGTTATTTTCGAGGGGGAGATGGGGAAGGATGGAAGCCTAGCGAAGAAAGGAAGGCAGAAGTGAAGTTCGAGGGAGGGAAGATGGTAATGAGGGTCTAACAGAGGGGGAGAAGCTGAAACAAGGAAGGGCGGTCTTAAAGAAAATTGTCGATAGAGAGAGGTGGATATCGTGGATATTGGCAAATCGTTGGGTTTGTTTTTCATGGCAGGAGATGCCTTTGTCGGAAGAGCTTTTGAAGAATTTGAGAAGAGAAGGAGGGAAGAAAGCATTAAGAGATCAGCTACAGGGGAGGGGGGCAGAGATTTGGAACGAGGAAGGAGGGCATGAAGACTTTTGTGATGGGGAAGATTGAGTTTGGTCGCGAGAAGAAATAGTGGGGGTCGATGGCTGTTGCTGGAAGGATTGGATCTTGAGCTTCATTTTGCATCGTTGTGTATGTTTTGGTTGTAAGTCTTGTTGTTAGATCTTTGGGAGGTTTGCCTTAGCACCTGCGATGTGGTTGTATCCAGAAAAGAGGAGGAAAACTGAAAAGAAGAACATGAAACAAAGAGAAATGTATAGGGAGAAGGAGGAACATTACAGGGTTTTTAGTCTTCTTCACACAGGCAGGTTTTTGGCAAATAGGTTGGTGAAGGGTTAAGCAGCTTGATGGTTTATACCTGTTTCCCGCGTTGGGCTTCTGCAACAGTCTACATGCAGTCTCAACGCCTTACTATAAACACTAGAAATAATTTATATTCGTAATAATACATTAATACCTACTATAGATGGGAGAATTTTTGGTTGGTACAAGGGATAATTGATAAAGGTTTACTTATCAAAACAAAAAAAAAAGAAAAAAAATTGATAAAGGTTTCTTCGACTATCCAGGAGCAGGTGGGGTTTCGATCAGATCGAGCTCTTAAAATGGTAATTCTGTTTTGAATGGATTTCGTTTGGTTTGTTCTTAAATACAAATACTCATCGCTTCAAGACCAAACGACCTTCTTGAATGATTAGCAGTTTACGTAAAAATGGTATTCATGATTGCTGATTTGCTAATGCTGTTGTCTCTGCAGGCTGCTTCTATCAATTTTGTGGTTGGATCTCATGTTTGGGTGGAGGATCCTGAGGTAGCTTGGATAGATGGGGAGGTTGTGGGGGTAAAGGGTGAAGAAATTAAAGTCAGCTGTACATCAGGGAAAACGGTAAGTGGATGGGGGGCTTTTTGCCTTTTCCTTTTAATGTTTTGTTACTTGAAAATTGAGAATGCAAACTTTCTTGAGCGAAGTTTGTAGGTCAATTGAGTTGTTGTTGGTATCTTCTTCTGGCTCCTTTCTATGTTCCACACTTGGTCATTAGCATCAGTTTTTATAAGCTCTGGACTCGGTTCATTTAATAAAAAAATATTCTTCTACCAATTACTCTTGGTAATAATATTATAGATTTGACATCTTATTTCAACAAATGGAAAGAATTTAATTTTGAATGACCTCTATGTGTTAATTGTCTCCGAGTGAATTTGGCATCTCTATATTGCAGGTTGTTGTTAATGTATCTAACGTCTATCCCAAAGATGATGATGCACCATCGTGTGGTGTGGATGATATGACAAGACTGCCATATTTGCATGAACCAGGAGTTTTGCATAATCTAAAGGCTAGATATGACGCCAATGAAATTTATGTAAGTATTAGAGGATAAGGTCTTTGCATTTTATTAATGACATTTGACACCCCACCCAGCCATCTATTTGCTTGTTTTTGTTATACTGGAAGTAGTCTGGAACTAATCCACAAAATGATGCTTCCAGACTTACACGGGAAACATATTGATTGCTGTGAATCCCTTTAAAAGACTCCCTCAGCTGTATGATAGTCAAGTGATGGAACAATATAAAGGAGCAGCATTTGGTGAGCTGAGCCCACATCCTTTCGCTATCGCAGATGCTGCTTATAGGTACTGGCCTTACTCTAATTTAAGTTAGGGACATCAAGTTTACCTAAAAAAGTTGTAATTGTTGTTGAAACAGACTGATGATCAATGAGGGGATAAGTCAATCAATTCTTGTAAGTGGAGAAAGTGGAGCAGGTAAAACAGAAAGCACAAAAATGCTTATGCGTTATCTTGCATTTATGGGAGGAAGAGCTGCAACTGAGGGGAGAACAGTGGAACAGCAAGTACTTGAGGTAAAGCAATGTATGATTTTGTAATCCAACAAAGTGGTAGAGAAGTTAAGGATGTTGGTTTTGAGACCATTGTCAGTTCTATCTGATTATTGAATTTCAACCAACAGATTTATTAGTTTTTTGTTTGTTTGCACCATCTTTTCTTTGTTTGGCAGTCTAATCCTGTTCTAGAAGCATTTGGTAATGCAAAGACTGTCAGAAACAATAATTCAAGGTGAAATGAGCTCTTACTAAAAGCCATCTATCCATTTCAGTTAATTAAAATATATCTTTTGATTGGTTGAAGTCCATGCTAAATCTTTTCTCTCGCACCTTGAAGTCGTTTTGGTAAGTTTGTGGAGATCCAGTTTGATCAGCGGGGAAGAATTTCAGGAGCTGCCATCAGAACCTACTTGCTAGAGCGATCACGTGTTTGTCAAGTGTCTGACCCTGAGAGAAATTATCATTGTTTCTACTTGCTTTGTGCTGCACCACCTGAGGTAATGGGCCACTGTTCTCTGCTTTGGGATTATACATATACATGTCTGTATATATGTATATCTATGTTTCTATTGCATGCATATATGCATGTATGCATGATAATTGGAATATATATATATATATTTGTATGTATGTATGTATGTATGTATGTATGTTATACTGTTAATTGTTAATTGTTATTCACTGTGGCATGTAGCATAATACTGCTCAAGAAGGAAGACAGCTTGAGCTGAGTAATAACATTCAAGTGGTCAGGCTACCTCCTCATTATCAGGCATTTCCTCTATAAGGGACTTATGGAGAAAGGCAAAGGTGGGGCGAGCAGGGTCCAGGGTAGATCTTTAATTCTCTGGCTTTTGCTTATTGAGTTGACTGAATTCAACCCATTTGGGCTGCAATTTCCTGTTCTATATCTTGAACCTCTTCTGACATCCAAACGTTATAAAGTTATCTCCAAGTCAAATTGGCCAGAGAACTTACAAAAGTTCTCTCCAAATCGAAATTAGGTTCATTTGACACATTTTCTGCATGACATTTTTAGTGAACAAAGTGATCCTCAGGGGATGTGAATAAGTGATGCAAGAACCAAAGAGATAAACCAGTGATTTTCTGAACTTTTATGTACTAATGGATGAAAGATATTGTCTTAACTTTTTATTAGCTATTTCCTGCTTCTGCTTCCTTGCTAGTGAAAGAGGTTTGGAGTAAGCATGTGCCCCCTAAGATAAGGGATTTCTTACTTGGAATATTTGAATCTCGTCGGGCATTTGAGGGAGTAAAAGTGTTTAGCTGGATTTAGGGAAAATGTTTAAGAAAAATGATGAGGAAGATAAGATGGAAGTTTACTTGGATTTAGAAAAGAAAATACATAGACGAAGAAAAAATGTTAAGAAAAAAAAACAAAGAGTTCGAGTTTACTTGGATTTGGGAAGCTTGTTGCAGAGGAAGTTTGCGCAGAGAGCTCTAGAAGAAGAAATTCGTGGGGAGCTTCTGGAGGTATTATCACAATCCGGAGAAATGAGGAAGTGGAGTGTCTAGAGGAGTTAATAGGACAATTGTCAGTGTCAATTAAGGTTGTTTGAGCTCGGTGCATTATTCCATACTAGTAAGGGGTGTAGCAAGGGATTTCTTTCCAGTGAAAGAGGAATAATTTTAATAAGGATTTTAGAGATTTGGTAAGCTTCGATGTGAGAGTTGGGTCCAGAGTGAGGGAGGATGATTGGAGTGGGGCTGGGAAGTTGTGTGACATTTGCCCAAGGCTGTATAGGCTGGCTGATCATCAGGTTTCGGTTGCCTGGTTCTATGGAATCAGTGGTGATCAGGTGGTTTGGAGCCCTAGGTTCAGAAGACCCCTATTTGATATAGAGGTGGATGAGTGCATCCTTTTGCTGGACAAGCTAGAACAAACGTGAATCTCTACAACCAATGATGATGGTTTGTGGTGGAAGGAGTGCAGGAATGGAAAGTTCACAGTGAAGTCATTCTACTTGGCTCTCATTAAGGATGATGTGGTGAGTGATCAAATAAGTGGAGTTTGGCGTAATCCAGTTCCCCCGAGAATTGAGGATTTTGCTTGGTTGGTCGTTCTGGACAGTGTTCTTGCATCAGATCACTTGAAAAGTAGAGGATTCAGTATGGCCATCTACTGTTATTTGTGTAAGTCCGAAGAGGAAACTGCTCTCCACCTGTTATTCTCTTGCAAAATAGCAAATTTCATTTGGAGGTTCTACTTATTCCTATTTGGATTCCAATTTTCCGCCCATCCTCAACTGCAGAGATCTTCTTTGGTTAGCCAAAGTTCACAGGAAGCAAAAAAGCTAAAATCATTTGGATCTGCATCCCTTTTGCAATGTGTTGGTCTCTGTGGTGGGAAAGGAACAGGAAGCTCTTTGAATTAAAGGAAAAAAGGTGAGAAAAGTGATGGAGTGGAAGCCCCCAACAAACAATAAAATTAAACTGAATTTTGATGCAATCTCTATGGGAAATCCAGAATGACTATGTATGTAGGTCCTGTTGGGGTAGTGGATTCTTTAAAGGCTGAACTGATGGCCCTGCTACAAGGCCACAAACTGGCTAAAACAATCAAGCATAAAAAACTTGGAGGTTGAAGGGGATTCTGGTTGTTTCATGGACTACCAATAGGTGCAATGTGCCTTGGACCTACAGATATGCTTGCAGGGAAATAGATAGCTTGGCAAGGGACTTAAATGGCAATTTCACATGGATAAGGACTGCAAATGGTATGGCCGACACACTAGCTAAGCAGGGGGTTTATAGGCAGCAGTTGTTTTGGGCTCTATTGTAATTTCTCGGGATATGCTTCTCAGTTTTCTGTTTCTTGGGTAATAATGACACCCTCTCTTATGTAATTAATATGGCTTATTTTAATAAACTTCTTTCTTCTTGCTGTTAAAAAAATAGTAGGTACTTAGCTTTGTATGCTCAAGTCCTACATAGGTTAGACTATTTAAACTCTAAGCCTCATAGGTATAACCTACACTATAGTAAATTATGTATTTCATTGTAATATTTTAGGTTAGTTCATCAAAGTATGGCAACAAGCGAGGTTAGGCATTGGGTTCAAGCAAGGTGCAACCTACTAAATGTGCCTTTCCTGTGAGCCAAAGCACGTGTTGGTATCACCTTTATACACTGTTCCCCTGAACACATGCACACTAACAATGATTGGTGATGAGAAGTGGTTTACAGTGGCTGTGTTTTTGTGATGCTATGTGCCATTTGAATTGTTGGCACATATTGGGATTTATTTAGTTACTACTTTGTTTGGCAGCATATTGGGATTTATTTAACATCATAAACTTCTTATGTTGAATGATTTTTATGACTGATTTGTTTTTGTCATATTTCATATTCTTCTCTTTTTTGTCCATTGTCAGGATGTTGAGAGGTTCAAATTGGGAAACCCAAGGGCATTCCATTATCTGAATCAATCAAATTGTTGTGAGCTTGATGGAATAGATGATTCAAAGGAATACATTGCAACTAGAAGGGCGATGGATGTTGTTGGAATCAGTACTGATGAGCAGGTGCTTTTACCAGGGAGTTGTCTCCATGGGGAGGATTTGGACCCTCAAAGAACCATCTATAATGAGTTTTCACTTTCCTTGTTTTCTTCAGGATTCAATATTCCGAGTTGTGGCTGCAATTCTGCATTTAGGCAACATTGAGTTTGCAAAAGGCAAGGAAATAGATTCATCTGAACCGAAAAATGAAAAATCTTGGTCACATCTCAGAACTGCTGCCGAACTTTTTATGTAAATAATGACTTCTCTGAACTACTTTGCATATGCTTCTTAAGCATCTTATGTGAATGAATATGAAGTCTTTACAGAAGATAGAAAATTCTTAATTCCCCATGTTTTGTTTAGGTGCGATGAGAAGGCTCTAGAAGACTCCTTGTGCAAAAAAGTGATTGTAACTCGTGATGAGACTATAACAAAGTGTCTTGATCCTGAATCAGCTGCTCTCAGTAGAGATGCTTTGGCAAAGATTGTCTATTCGAGGTTGTTTGATTGGTAAGTTTGCTTTTTAGGTAAAAATGATTATTTGATCGATAAGTCTTGATTGTCATTTCATAATAACTAATCAGTTGAAAACTTGGTTTTTAATTTCTTCAGTTTGAATATGAATTTAAATAAGTGGTTTTGAATTTTCAGTGTGCTCAAACTTTTTGCTACTTGTTTCTACAGGCTTGTGAATAAGATAAATAGTTCAATTGGTCAAGATCCTGATTCAAAAACCTTGATAGGAGTGCTGGATATTTATGGATTTGAGAGTTTCAAGACAAACAGGTGCTTAACCGGTACGCTTTTATTTTTTTATCATTCCAAAGGTGATTTTCTTGCAGTGAACTGCATGAAAACTGTGTTTGTTTGTGTGGTTGAAGGGCATTTTATGCTGTGATTTGGAAAATGGGGCTTAGCATTTATATGTGTCTTTGTCAATTGTCAGTTGATTTGGATTCTTTTTTGATGGATAACAGTTAAGATTTTACCAATTACAAAAAGGATTGATTTACATAAATGTCTGCCTGGCATCCCCTTGAGTGCTTGCCAGCCCATCCTTCCCATCCCCTTTGTCCCTCACTGTACATAAGGTTTAGCTTTTTTATATATCATACTTGAGCAGGGGGAACATTCCTCTAAAATAGTTACTCTCTCTTTATGCTCCTTGTTTATAAGCTAGCCTGTTTGCCAATTGTTGAATAAGAAGCTTGTGCTGTCTTTCCTAGCCAGGTGCCTTCTCTAATCATATGTCTGTATTGTCAAGACCTTAGGCTATTTCTGACAGTTTGCTCTGGTTATCTAATTTGTGTAAGAAGACTTATTATGACATCATCATTTATCTTTCTAGGTTGTTTATCTATTATATTTGCTACTTTGCTAGAAAATCTAAGAGTTGTGAACCAATGAAAAAAATTCTCCTCATTTGATCATCACTGGTCTCTCTTTCTTATTTTCTGTAGAGACTAGAGAGAGAATTTAAAATTTTCCTCATTTGGTCACGACTGATATCTTCTAATTGACCAATGAAAAAATGGATTTTATGGGAATGTTGTATTGACTCTCTTATGCAGGTGAAGTGTCTATGTTGGACAACATCTAATTCTAACCTGGTTTGCAATATCCCTGAAACTTTCCAATATTTCCCATCTTCATAGTTTCCAAAATATCAACCAATAAGATATCTATAATTGGATAATTTAGACGGAATACTCATACTTCTAAAAATAAATAATTCATGTTTTGTTATTTAGGGAAATATCATAAAAAGAGATTAAAAACCTGATAATTCACATCATAAGCTTACCGAATATTGGTGGAAATGAGAGTTATCTGGTGGAGGAATCCATCTATAACCAAACAAAGAAAAAATCCATTCCCGAATAGAAGAAACAAATGGATAGGAAATTAATAAGTGATAGTAGGACTCACCATTAGATTTACAAAGAACACACCAGTTAGGAGATAAGCACCAAAAAAGGCTTCTTACTTTGAAGGAGAAGCACTAGTAGCTCGAGCCAATTGTCCTGCATTCCAGCCCTTAGCTGTCAACCCATGAATACTCAAAATCACCTTGGCTCATAACTTGTCCTTATCTGTTGGTAGCCTCCACACCACTTTCTTAAAAGAGCCAATTTTCTTTTATGAAGATCGCCAATTCCTTAGCCTCCAAAATTCATGCTTTTAATTATAGTTTCTCAATTGACACTATGATCCTTTCTTTCCTCCCTTGGTTCCCACATAAAGTCCCTAATTATTTTCTATTGGCTTTTGGAAACCCCAACTAGAATTTTGAACACTGATAAAAAGTAGAGAGGTAAATTGGCCAAAGTTGACTTGATTAAGGTTATCCTCCCTCCCAAAGATAGGTAATTCCTCTTCCAAGAAGCTAATCTCTTTTAACTCTATCCACCTCTGGGTTCCAAAATTGCCATTTCTTTGCCTTAGGGTCCAGCTTTAAGTGGTGAGGACCAAGAACATGGGCAAAGCATACACATCCAAAAACCCTTAGAGGAATATGGAACATCTCCCCCTCAGGAAAAAGAATGCTGAATGGAGTGCTATATCCAAGAATATGAGAAGGCACTCGATTAATAAAAAAAATTGCTGTAATAACTGCATCACCCCAAAAATGAAGTGGAACTATAGAGCTCAATATCATGCTTCTTGCTACTTCCACAATATGTCTGTTCTTCCTTTCTACTACACCATTCTGTTGTGGAGTGTATGTACAACTGCTTTGATGGACTACTCCATGCTCCAATAGGTTTGATGCCATTTTTTATTTCAAAGTATTCCCTGACATTATCTGATTTAAACACTTTTATTCGTATTCCAAACCCCGACATCACCATCTGATGTTACTATTGAACCAAAGATGCTCATCAGGGGATCTCATCAAATATATTCAAGAGTATTAAGAATAATCATTCACAAATAGAAGAAAATACCAATAGCTACCCATAGAAGAAATATGGTATGACCCCCACACATCAGTATGAACAATATAAAAAACAGAAGAACATCTTTTATTGCTTGCTTTAAAGGAATGTCTACAATGCTTTCCTAGTTGGCAACCCTCACACTCCAAGATGGACAAACTGACAGACTCAAACGATCTTGGAAACAACAAATGCAAAGAAGCAAAAGGCAAATGCCCTAACCAGTTATGCCAAAGCATAATCTGACCCACTGACTCTGACTCAATGTTCCCGCTGACATGATGATTCTGATGACTGGGAAGTGCATCAAGAAGATAGATTCCATTCACCTCACGACCATTCCCAATCATCCTCTTTGATTCCAGATCCTGCAAAGCACAATGACCAGGAGAAAAAATCACTGAATAGTTCAAAATTTTTGTCAAGCTACTAACAGATAAAAGATTTGTGCTCAGTCTAGGGACATTGTTTGGTGAGTGATCATGTTACATAGTGGGATTTGGTGTTGCCTACAACCGAATTTTCCTACAATAGCTCTATGAGTACAGGTCGCAGCCCTTTTGCGATAGTGATGGGAATTCAGCCTAAGAAGACTATAGACCTAGTTCCTTTTCCATCAGGGGCAAGACCAAGTGCTGATGAAAAAAATTTTGCTAACCACATCAAGGAGATCCATGATGAGGTTAGGAGGAAGATCGCAACCAACAATGAAGCCTATAAGTCCCATGGTAACCTATGATGCAGGTTTATTGATTTTAATGAAGGGGCCATGGTAATGGTATGAACCAGGCCTGATCGTTTCCCTAAAGGTGTTTATAAGAAGCTCCATTCAAGAAGGGTCCTTTTAAAATCAAGAAGAAAATCAGCTCTAATGATTATGTACTTTTGGAAATAAACAACCTAGTTGGTTTGGTTGAAGTATTTTCTTTTGGAAATAAACATCCCAGTTCATCAGCCCATTAAGTTGTTCAGTGACAACCAAGGCACAACTCATATTGCTTCCAACCTAGTGTTTTGGGAAAGAACTAACCATATTGAAGTTGACTGTCATTCTATGAAAGGGAAAGTGACAAGTGGAGATATTGCTACTCCTTATGTTAAGTCAAAAGACCAAGTAGGTGATATCTTTACCAAAGTTTGGGCCATTCAAGGATGAATTATATTTGTAAGAAGTTGGAACTTTATGACATATATGCTTCATCTTGAGGGGGAGTGTTAGAATTAGTCCATAGGTGTATTTTCCTTTTGGCGTCAGTATGGGAAGAGTGCAAATATAAATATGTACAGTGCAAAGCCTTGTATTTTGTATTTATAAACCTGAGCCTTTCTTGTTTTATTTTCTCTCTAATATCAGTTTTACATGTTTGGGGATATTGTTGTTGAAGAAAACTAAAGAGAGGAGAGCTTGAGAGTTCGGCAATGAGGGTTTGAGAATGAGAGTTTTGAACCTACTCTCTCTCAGCACCCTAACACTATTTTATTAAGATAGATTTGAATAATTACAAGGAGGCCCTTAGTTGGGCAGGAAATTACAAAGAACTTAATATAGACAGGATGGGCCCAGAATAAGGCCCATTACAGAAAAACATAAATAACAAGAAAGAATAAACAGCCTATGGACCATTCGACCCATCTTCTCTACACTCCCCCTCAAGCTGAGCATAGATGTCAATCATGCCAAGCTTGTTGGTATCATGCTGAAGTTTTGCCTTGGGAATGCCCTTGGTGAGAAAATCTGTCAACTGTCCTTCAGATGTGATGAATGGAAGACATACTTCACCCGAAGAGACCCTTTCCCTAATGAAGTGTCGATCAACTTCAATATGCTTGGTTCTATCATGTTGCATTGGGTTATGAGCAATGTTGATGACAGAAGATCTACTTCTGGGTATTGCAGCTTGGTGGCTGGTAATGTTGTTTCTTGGASAARCAAGAAACAATYKGTTGTTGCTCGGTCTTCTGCTGAAGCAGAATACAGGGCCATGGCACATGGAGTTTCTGAATTATTATGGCTAAAATCATTGATGGAAGAACTTGGGGTTGAACA